CCTCCGGGGCAGGCGGGAATCGAACTCATGTGGAAGTGGCTTAAGCTTCTTAGTGCAGTGCTTTAACCCACTGCGCCACCAGGGAGGGCCATCTTCAGTCTCTTTTTGCTCTTACCTGTCCACTTCCCCCACGTGTGACGAGATTAAATGACAGTCTGGTCAGCCTAATTTTTCCAAGCTCAATTTTGGATTTTACTTTAAAGTAGGATATGAAAATTTCCCTTAGAACAGTTTCCTGTTTTGGATCACAGTCTACTAGGAACATTTTGCCAGTAATAACTGGAAGAATAAAGTCTAGGCAGAAAAAGAGTTAGGAAAAGAGCAAACTCATTCTTCATCTGCCATTTTAGACCTGCAAAGAAGTGATTTATTCCTATTTACTTCCTTAATATTCACCTATTCAGCAAACATTTATTGACTGTGTATTCTATGCCAATCACTGAAACCTATGAGTTCACATATCTAGTTGTTCTATTTCTCGCAACAACCCTACAAGTTAGGATTGTCACCTTGCTTTAAAGGTTAGGAGATGGAGGCTCAGAGAGCTGCAGTGACCTGTCTCAGGTCACATTCCTGGTCAGATTTAAAATAGAACCTTCAGTCATCAGAGCTACTGCTTTCTCCACAGCTTTGCAGCTGCTTCTCTAGTTGAGGTTGCAGAGAGTGTTCTGTGAGCTGTCACCTCAGCCACAAAGGTATGCACTCTTGTCCCTCAGGTGACAGCATTTTATTGGTCTAATTTTACCAACCTTTTTATTTAATGACATTGAATAGATTGCTTTAATATAGACAAAAGGTAGTGTTTTTGTCTCTTTGCCTAATCTGATTTAAATGCACTTATTTAAATGTCTCCTTCAGAAGCCAGTGTTGTATTTAATGTGGAAGCACAGGAAGCATTCCTGGTATTGTCTTGAGAAACACAAGCAAGCTGACCACTGTCATTATTATTTAAGATTTCACTGGTTGTAGGCCCTCCCTGGTGGCGCAGTGGGTTAAAGCGCAGCATTGAGAAGCTAAAGCCACTTCCGCATGAGTTCGATTCCCGCCTGCCCCGGAGGTGACCACATGGTGTGGCAGACTTCTCTTGACCTGTCCGCTGCTCCCCTCAGCAGTGTACTTCGTCGATCTGCCTGTTCTGCTCCCCACTCTGTCTCTGGTGAAGCCTCTCGCCGCCCCTGAGCCTCTGGCCTGTACCCCAGCTCTGTATGCACAAATAAATAAATCTTAAAAAAAAAAAAAAGATTTCACTGGTTGTAGCAGCCAACCAGCCAACTGAATTAGACAAAAGAAAAAAATTAGTTATATGTATTGAAAGGAAAAAGACAATACTACTTCTATTCACAAATAATGTAATTTCCTACCTGAAAACCTAAGAACTACTAAAAACATTCAACAAAATGATGTTAATAAGATAAAATATATAAAAATAATTACTCTCCCTATAAGCAAACCACTTCAAATTAGAACCAAAAGGTTGAACTAGATAAGTGTGACTATATAAGGGATGCACAAAGTCTATAGAGGAAAGTTTCAAATACTTAGATATTCATTTCCTAAAACTATGGATTAATCCTAGGATTGCTAAGAGCCAGATTCATGCCTTTTTATGTGATGTCATGACGTACACAGTGCCAACTTGAACTACCAGTACTAGAAAAGTTGAGTGTGAATTTCCTCAAGCATTTATAACTATCTTCCATTTGTAAGAAATACAAGGATTAGAATAACAATTCAATGACAACACAATGAAACAAGTTGACAAGCCCATATTAAAAGGCAAGAAATGGTCCTCCTTGTTGGGGGAAGGAATGAAAGTACAGCACTATGAAGCTATCCACACTCACTGCATCATGAGTTCGATCCCCAGCCAGGGAGCTGACACATGTGGTGCAGGAGATCTCTCCTGTCTTACCCGCTGCTCCCCTCAGCATTGTGTTTCAGCTAGTATGCCTCTTCTGCTCCCCATTCTGTCACTGATGAATCCTCTCACTCTCACCCCTTGCACCTCTGGTCTAAACCCCAGTTCTTGTATTCATTAATAAATAAATATTTTTTTAAAAGGCAGGAAGGCTACTACTGCAGATTAAAAGAGACAAAATGGATATAACAACCAAGAACATTGTGGACCTTCTCTATGATATTGTTTATTCCCTATGATTTTGTTCATTTTTTGGAACATAAAGAAACAAAGCAGAAGAGCAAGCAAAATAAAACAAGACCAAATAGCTAGATAGAGAAAATACTTTGGTGGTCACCAGAGGTGGAGGGGTTTGGAAGGAGAGGAAGAGGTTAATGGTGTCAAGTATGTGGTGATGGATGGAAACTAGGCCCTGGTGAGGTAGACTTTATAGATGTAGGATCATAATGCTGGACACTTATGAACCAATGTTTGCTCAAAAAATTTTGTTTTAAAAAATGGATCCTGATTCTAACCACCTAACTATAAAATATTTCTTGAAACAACAGGGGACTTTTTTTTTTTTAATAAAGGGGACATTTTTTAAAAGGCTTTATTTATTTATTTTTACATAGAAGAACTGGAGTAGGGCCTAAAGATGTGGGAGTGGGAGAGTGAGGGGACTCAGCAGAGACAGAGTGAGGAGCAGAACAGGTGGATCAATTGAAATACACTGCTGAGGGGAGCAGCGGGTGAGACAGGAGAGGTCTGCTGTGCCATGTGTGGGTCAGCTCCCTGGCTGGGGATCGAACTCAGGCCACAGCAGTGATAGCTCTGAACCTTATGCCTAGGCCACTAGGAAGCCCCAATTGGGGACATTTGAATGTGGGTGGGGATTAGATGATAAGAAGAATGTGTTTAATAACTTTGTTAGTTTTGGTGTTCGTGGCAATATACAGCATAACTAGATGAATCCAGAAAGTGAGATGGTGTGATATTTGGGATTTGCTTTAAAGTAGTTCTTGAGGGGTGGGGAAAAGAGAAAGTGAGAAAGTGAAATGGCAACATCTTGATACTTGTATTAGTTTGCTACAGCTGCTATAATAAAACCTCACACACTGAATGGCATAAAGAAATTGTATTTCTCAAAATTCTGGAGGCTGGAATTCTAAGAGCAAGGTCTCAGGAAATTTAGTTTGGTAAATCTGCCCCAACTTAGCCTCTCTCTATCTCCTCTATCCACACCCCCTCCTCCCTTGTGGTAACCGCCATATTTTGCAGAGTCTAAGAGTTATTTTTGTCCTGCTTTGCCAGATTGGTTTCTTTGGATATTTATATTCCATAAATGAGTGAAAATCATCTGCTAATTGCTTCTCACTTTCTGTCTATTTCACTTAATATAATCCCCCCTCAAGATGCCTATTGTGCCAAAGGTATGATTTCTTTTTGCTCATTTCTAGAGATTAGAAGTCTGAGATCCAAAGGTCCACGGAGTTGGTTTTCTCTGCCTCTGTCCACTGCTTGTCTGACGGTCTTCTCCTCCAGGGATCTTCCTTCTCTGCCTGGCCTTTTTCTAATTCCCTTTTCTTATAAGGACACTCATCATAAGGGATTAGTGCCTACTCCAATTGCCTCATTTCAATTTAATTGCCTCTTTTAAGATCCTATCGCCCAATACCACCACATTCTCAGTCCTAAGGGTTAGCACTGACACATGAATTTTGGGGAACCCAGTTCAATCCAGAGCAAACTTTATGGAGGGAAATGAAAAGTAGCTCTCAAAACGAGCAGTGTTCCCCCTTTCTAGACTTGTGCTTCTGGAAAGCTAGCCTACAGACATACCTGCACACACATAGTGAGGATATCCTTTCAAACTTGTTTATAACAGCACAAGATTAGAAACAACCTACGTCCATCATTACGGGGCTATGTGAGTAAACCGTGCGTTGCCGACACACTGCAAGAGGACGCAGCTGTAAAATGAAATATGGAAGCTCTCCAAGGACAGCTAAAGAAAGCTCAGGTTGGCACGCAAAGTAAGAAAAGGCACACACAGTGTAATGTCTCCCTCATCCAAGAAATGCTTTCATACCCTCTGGTACAATGTTTGCATGAACACCGACAAAAACATAAACAACACAACTGAGTAAAATTGGTTATGCATAGGTGTACAGAATTGCGGGAGTAGATGTGGAAGTCTTTTCTGTCCATTCCTGTTCATCTAGACTTAATTTCTAAATCCTGTACATTCAAAGTCATTGAAAGTCTCCTGTCTAAAACATCCTGATTCAGCCAGGAAATTTCTCATATGAAACCAACCCTAATCCTCTTTCTTTCGAGAATGGCTATTCTCAGTTTATCGAAGCTGCATCTAGGGTTTTCAAATTGTGAAATAAAGAAAACCCCCAGGGGTTGCCAAAGCTTTCTTTCTCTGTTTTTCTGTGAAGAAAGGAGCTGAGTGTACAAGGCTCAGAAGAGTCCCCTTGAATCTGACGTTGACCAAATAAGAGAAGGCCAGAGGCTATTGATCCCCAGCGCTGGCAGCACGAACACCAGTGGGTGTGCATCACTTCCAGAGAACAGAAGTGGCCTGCTGAGGGTGGGGCTGGGTGCCTGGTGGGGGTGGGGACCCGAGTGCACTGCATCCAGCTCAGAGTGAAATTCCTCGAGAAAGCCTTCTTGTCACAGCACCCACAGCGCTCTGATCCTGCTAGCAGCCCAGCGGCCTCTCCGAGGATGCTACATTTAAAAGTGCAGTTTTTGGATGATTCCCAGAAGATTTTTGTGGTTGATGTAAGTGGAAATCACATTGCTATTATTCCTTTATTATTCATTCAATAATGGGCGTTTGTGGACAACACATTAGCTGGCGATGCTGTCTTCTTTAGGACCGAATGAAGGAGGACTGGGGTGTTTGGCTTTAGGAAGAAATCTGTTTAATATTACAGTGTAATTCATGTTTTCCCATTCACCTTTCTCTTAGAACAGGTAGTCTTTCCTCCAGGGACAGCAAAAGCAAGTGTTAGAGAGATGCTCAATATTTGTAAAAAGACAAAACAGGAATAACTTGGCTGTCTCCAGTACTGCTCATTGAAATGTCTGTGAAGCTCTCCCCATGAATATTCACAGGGAGAAAACTATGGTTCTGAGAGAAAAGGAAAGGAGAAAGCTACCCTCATTTTTCTGAAGAAAACCTATGAGTTGTGTGTGTGTGCTTGTGTAGAATTATGCAGTTGTAATGAGAACTTCAGGGAATAATGATAAGTACAAAAGAGAAAAAGAGATGATTTAGTTTGATTTAGAGTTCAGGGTTCTCAATGTAATTCCTAGCTACAAGATAATTGTGTACAATTATACCTCATCTCTTCAAGAAAGAACAAATGTATTAGCACATCATCTGGGGCTCATTTTCTGGTATCTTACATGTTTTTTGATGTCAGGATTTCTGTATGAGCATTTTGAAATGTTCTGTTTGTATTAGAACAAAAAAATGCTATTTACTGATATTTGCATTCACTACTAACAAGGAACAAATAGTTCATTTTCTTTGAAATTCATACAAAATTATGTTTGTTTTCCTTTATACATAAACTGACAACTGCTGTTGCATGTGGGCAACCCATTTTTCAAATGAGAATTTCAGTTTTATTTGAATCATGTGCTTTGTGGGTGATGACTTTAGTGCTTCAGCTGCTGTTTTGCTGTCTCTTCCTTTCACTTTTATATGCAAAAGGCATTTCCAGGTCCACAGAACTGAATGATTTGTTTTATAGCAAATAGCTTCCATTCGAGTTACAAGACATTTCCTATTCTTTCTTGGAGCTATATTTAAGGGGTGGAAAATGTCTTTTGAGTAGTTTATCCATTTGCAGGCTGGGTGTGCATTCCTACTCTTCCAGTACTTGAATTAGGGAGCTGGGGACTAAATACACTGCTTTAGGCAAAATTCTGAATGGATATTTCCAGCAACTCAAAGAGGAATCTTTGATAAAAAGTGACAGAAGAGCTTTCTGATTGTGCACTGCAAATTCAGATCCAATTAAAGGGAGGGGAGGCACCGGAGCTTTGCTTCACCATTTCACCTCTCAGGAGTGATCCAGCAACTGGAGCTAGCCTGATTTGGCTTCAAGAGAGATGGTCTCTCTTCAGCTGCAACACATTGTGTTCCCTGGGGAGATAAAGGGAGAGAGTTGATACCCAGAATTTGGTGGGTACAGCATGGTGTCACAGCATCTGACCCCTTTTGCTCTGTGGAAGGTTGCTCTGCAGGTAACAATCTTGGTGTTTCTAAGTGGCAAGATCACAGAGTACAGTCTGCTGAGCACCTTTGTCCTGAACAGAATGGGACCTTAAATGAGCATCAGTTATCCACAAGAATCTTCTCTCCTTAACAATAGCACACTGATGATGGTGGTGGTGGTCATAGCAGGGGTGGTGATCACCAGTGGACACCACTGTGAAATCTACAAAGCAGTTTCACAACCTTTAGGTCATTTGAGCCCCCATTGGTGCAAGATTCATCTTTACCCATTTTGCAAATTTAGAGATAGGGGTTCAGGGAATTCAAGTGATTTATGCAGAATTAAACAATGTAGATACATAGAAGTAGGACTTCCAACCCATAAGGCTCCCCACTTGTATCCAGAACACTCATCTGTCAGAAGCTTTCCAGTCCTGAAACATTGCTCATATACTTTATTTCTGTTGCCCTCAAAGTGCATACCATTTGGTATAGAGTTAGTCATTAATGACTGTTGTGAACCAATCAGTCAATTCCTCTTTCCTCACCCATGGATGAGAAATACATGAGAAAGTAGCTTTTAGGGTTTGGGAAGATCCTGACACGATTCCCAAACTTTAAAAGCAACCTAAAAATGTCATTTTGCATTCATTGTGATAGCACAAATAGAATGAAGAAATGCTAGGAACCATAATGAAGAGATCTCACTAGTAGTTCAGCAAAGTCACATGGAGGCAGTTTTGATACAAAAATTGATTGAAGTCTCAAGAGGCATGGATCAGCCCTGGGGAGAATTGTGCTTCAAGATTCAAGAAAATACTTGGCTGCATGGGGGAGTGAAGGGGAGTCTTGGGTATTGGTATTGATTTTACAGAAAGTATGGGAGTACAAATATGAAAAGGACACATGATCAGAATGTCTCCTGGATAAGGCTAATTGACATCTAGAACTTTCTGTCCACCCCCATGGGTATAATCTTGCTGGTGTCCAAAATCTGGCTCAGGCCTACCTACTCAAGCCTAAAGTCTCTGCACTTCACAAGATTAAGTCCTAGACTGACTGATAAACCAAGTTATCAGTATCGCCATTAACAGTGGGACTGGGGATTCAGGAATCATCTCATAAGTTGTATCAGATACCAAATGTCAGCAGAGACAGATTGAAGGGAATTAAAGTTATGATCCTACTATTTGATGAGCTGGGGTTCCACCCATCTCCACAAAGAACCTGCAGAATAAAACATAAATGCAGAACTAGGACTTCCACTCCAGAACTAAAGAACTTTTAGCCATTCATTCATTTAGTCTTTTCATTAACAAACTATTATTGAGATGTAATCGTTCCAGGCCCTGTTCTTGTCACAGCAGATTCTACTACATTGGTAGGTAAAGTTCTTGAGCAAGGGCACACTTGCCTGGACTGTGCTGGCTGGGAGTTACCAACTTTGATTTTAGGGATTGATTTTCCTCGTTGCCTGGTTGGCAAACTCCCTTGGTGATGGACTTATTCTGTCTTTAACTTGTTAATACCTTCAGTTAGATTAGTGGGAAGAGTGGCTGGTCCCAAAGAGATTGCTTTTTATTGTTGTTTGTTTTTCTGCATATCTGTACTCTGAGGCACTCTGTTGATTTTATAATGAACTCAAACAATATTGGTCAATCCTTTCCTATCTGAATTTCTAAAAGCATATAGGGGGTACAGGATAAATACGGGACTTCAGAATTTCTGGGATGTTTTTATTAAATGTAATTCGATAAAAATGTATTGAGTGAACATCTCATCTAACTTTTGATCTCTAATACATATTTAATAAAATTGATCATCGTCAAATACCAGCATCATTCCAAATGCTCAGATACCCTTAGATAATTAAGGCGAGCTCTCCAGAATGATGATGATGCGAAAAGAAATTAAGACAATGATTTCAAAATTAATTGGAGATTTTAGTGTAAATTCAATTTTGCCTCCTCTACATGGGCACCAAGATTTTTTGATGGGGAAAAGGAGGCGATGGCTTTCTGTACTCTTTGGAAAGAGCATAGAAGGCCAGATTGACTATGAATACTCCCAACATGCACACATACCAGCGGCAGTAATGAGAGTCATGGGGCAAGAACCTTTTAAGTCTGAGCTGTGTACATTTCAGGCTTAGATGGAGATACCTCAAATCCATAAGCTCACCTTCATATTTGACACAGTCCTCTCTGTTATTCCCCCTGCATGCTGTGGTTCTATCTTTGTAGAAGTATCCCGAAGGGAGAGAGGAGCCGTTTCTTGTAATTATCCAAAGCCATGTTTTATTTTGATGGTTTCTGGAATCTAAAATCAAAATAAGATGCTGAAAATCATGAATCTTACATTTTAGTTGATTGGAAAATGACTGTATTGGCCAGAGCAATGGGTACCCAGTGGCTACATCAATGAGAGAAAATGGTGAGTTAGCTTACCTCATTCTCTTGGGAGTGTACCATAAGGGCCAATAGATTTTGTTTTCTAAAAGAGCAAGCAGTATCAGGACTGAACCTACTAAAGATATAATAAGAAAACAAGTGACAACCCACTGATTTTGTATCTGTAGTGGTATTTATCCTTGGGAAGTTTGACCAGGAGCTGGTTTTCTAATTTATAACAGGCTCTTTTGGATCTTTTGTAGGTTTTTCAATAGCAAAATAGAAAACCCTCACCTTCATAATACAAACTTTCTCTAAATCCAGTGTGATGGAATCATTATTAAAAAGCTGTGCTGCAAAATAATAATATTATTGATAAATATTATTTAAAAAAAAAAAAAGCTATGCTAGTTCAGATGTGCAATCTTCAGCCAGTCACTTTACCTCTCTTAACTCCCTGAGCTTTTGTGAGGGCTAATATTAATAGCACAATGTATACTAGAATCTGCTAAAACCAAACAAATTTGAATTTGCCACTTCCAAGCTATGTGACCTTGGGCAAGTCATTGGCTATCTGAAATTTACTTCTGCCAACTCTGAATACCCAGAGTTGAGGTATCAGGAATACCTTTCCAAAGAATAAATTATTTAAGTTGCTGAGTAGGAGGAACTAGAGAGGTGAAAAGAGGGAGAATAGCAGGAGAAAATATGGTGTCTACACAAAGGAAAGATTGAAGACCAACATGGAAGGAAAACATGGCCCTTTCATGGAAGATAAGCTCAAGCTGAGTGATGAGACAATGTTGAAAGGAAGATGGGGAGAAGTTAAAAATCAAGCTGAAGCAGAATTAGTCACGCTAGGTCACTCGACCATGTCATCTCTACATGATGTTTAGGTTTTATCCCGAAGATGATAGAGAATTAATAGAGAATTTAAGAAGCTCAAAATGTGGGCATTAGCACCTGCTTATTCATTCACTCATGTGTGGACCCATCCACTTTGCCAATATTTAATGAATATTTGTCCTATACACGGGAGATGCCAGGTATGATTTGAATAATAACATGAAGGTAAGTGGCTCTAATTTATTTATTCTATTGTTTTTATTTTTCAAAATTATTTATTTATGCATAGAAGAACTGGGGAGCAAGCCAGAGGTGGG